AGAGATGAAGATAGTTTTACATGCAACAAGTAGGCCGAGCCGAGCCAATCCAGAGGAAAGAAGACACCTCTAAAGTCTGCGTTCAAACAATCCCTTCCTTTGCTACAATGCAATAAACTAGGATGACACTACCCTTCTTCGAAAGCCGTCACCTTACCGCCTTCTAATAAAATTCCTATCTTCACCACTAATTCTAAATAAAACAAGCAAATCATCAGCAACATTTTGGACTGGTTGCGTCCGAATGAACACTTCCTTTACTATAGTAAGGAAACAAACACGACTGACAATAATCATATTCAAACGCCAGCACCTTACCGCCTTCTCATAAAGACTTTCATTTCAAACGTACACGAAAGGGAAGACCATCGACGCCATTTTCAATAAACTTGAAGTCAAATTTATTGGTGTTATCTAATACTTCCTTACTTCAACCACATAAAGATACAACTAAAATATGGGGTGGACTTGGTGTACCTGGTTAACCGTGCAATTGCACAAGTAAACCAGATACAGGTATAGTATTCAAATATTGGCCCCAAAACCAGATCCTTTCTGCGGAATGGCAGGAATATTTGACACAAATTATTCAAAAGCCACACCGATCGATACCTACAACGAAAAGACACGTACTTCTACGACCCGAGAGAAGACTGACGAAGTTCCGAGCACCGATTGCAAACACACGTAGTTCTGAGGCCTTCAGCAAGACTCACGCACTTCTTGGTTAAAAAGATAGGAACTACGTGAGTCTTGCCGAAGGCCTCAGAACTACGTGTGTTTAAAAGCGATGCTCGGAACTACGTCAGTCTTCTCTCGGGGCGTAGAAGTACGTGTCTTTGCGTTGTAGGTATCGCGATGAGTATTCTTTCTGCGGAATGGCATGGATATTTACCAGAAATTATTCCAAAACCAAACCACACTGCTGTCTGTGAGCCCATTAAATTGACTACTAACAACTAACTATTTTTGTTCTATTATATTTTAACTTCTTGTAGGAATAATAAAAAATTCTAACGCTAACGCGTTAACGGCCCCCTATATTTTAATTTACAGTAGGAATAGTGAAAATATTCTATTCAATATCAGATGTTGCCATATTATGAAATAAAATTATTAGTGGGGTATAACCAACAGCATAGTTTTATTTCAAATTCTCCTGGGAGCAGCACCCCCAGCCGCAAAAGGCGACAGGTTGGCAGCATTGTTAGCCACCGCGCCTTCTTTTAAATGCGATTTGGAAGTCAGAAGTACAGTCTTCACTAACAATGCCTATCGCCGACTGGTGCTGACCGGTCGCGTTCGAAACAGCGTTTATGCTGCACCATTTTACACGGTGACGACTTGTTTTTATTCAACGCGACCACTGAAAGTAGGGAGTGTCGACGCCAGGCTCATGTAAATTTTGGATAGGGTTGTACAAAGCAACAGGCGATCGTTTCTATTGGTCAAATTTTCCCGCGGAAACGTGTGATTGGCTGAAATTTCCCTGGCTCGACTCGGCCTGCTGCTCAGCTCGTCATTTCCATGTAAACTCGTGATAGTAAAATGCTTTTCATGTTTCATTAAACGACAAGATAGGCAACCAACACGCACGGATGTCGGAGGAAACAAACATTGCCTAACCAACAGGCGGTTAAACTGCTTTTCACTTTGAAAATGTTTCATTGGCTGAGCTTGCGAAGCCTTTGCTGTGATGTGGGGTGCAGAGAACTCTTTGGTCGTGTGTCTGTCTGTCTGTCTGCGTCTGTCTGTACTGGCCCACGTTTCTCTCAGACAGTAACTTCAATTGACTTCAAACTGCGCACGAAGCTTCAGTATAAGTCGAGACGAAATGAGTTTAGTTTAGAAGTTTGATATTAGATGTTTGAAATAAACGATCGTTTAATTTGAATTCGTAGTTTGGTGGCGGTAGGTTGGTAGCACGGCGCTCGAAGGGAGGTGGCTCCTGCGCTCACCTGAAGACTTTGATACCTTCTCAGCAGTTATTAAAATG